ATTATATTCTGATAATCTTTCTGCATTATAAATGGAAATAATATAATCAGATTATAAATTAATAAATTTGTTATTAGATTTCTGATGAAAATAACAGAAGAACCCTCTGATTTGTTTACTAGTACACCGTGACGGCTAGTTTGGTTTCGTGTCCAGAAAAGTCTATAATATTCAGCTTTACGTTACTTAAAGGGGAGCCGCTCAATCCCATGGATTGCACCAAAGAATCATGGGACACTATTGTTTATATTGTTTACAATGTTAATCTATCTTTTGTTATCTATTGTTATTTTAATCCAGAAAGTAAATTTGTTGTGGGATTAGGCTTAACTAGAAGGTGCTCCTTTAATTATACGTGTTTAGACATATGTTGACATAAACAATAGTGATAACAATTTTCTCGTCTGTTGGTCTCCGGTGGCTCTGAAAATCGGAAACTCATTTTTTTCTGCACTTCTTTCAAGGCAGGTTAAGGTGTGTTCATATCTTCAACAAAATGGTCGTTCCATGACGTAATAAACTTGTCGGATTTAATGCGTAAATGGCACGTTGAAATAAAAGTACGTACCATTAAATCGTTACCCACTCCTTATTTTAGTTGGATACGCAACTTGCACACAAGGAGGAGCAGGGTTTCTTTTTCTGGTCATTTAGAGTATATATACTTTAAATTTCGAATCGAGGTAATTGATCATATCTATGTATATTAGAATATTCATTTTTTATGCAAATTATGATATTTATGTTTCCGGGAGAACCTTGAATGAAACTATGTAAGCGTTGCATGGCGGGAATTTAGGAATACCGCACAAATTAAGTGGCAAGGGCCACCACGGATACTAATAACTATTTAATTTAATATATAGCCAACATTGCAGTTTTTCAACTGTATGTAAAAGACAATTCGGTTCGTGTATAATACTGGGCCCATGACGTCACTCGTATCATCCAGCCCTCAGTACGAACAAATGATATCAGGTGATAACATTATAGTATGTGGGAACAATTACAGAAGTCCTGTATCAGAGTCATACCAGTGTTAGTATCCATATGGGATGAGTGATACTTCGTAACCATGGATACACGAACAGCGTAGGTTTCAGACTATTCCGAAACTTGGAATTTGAATTAACACTATGCAAATCTGTGAGGTACCCCCCGGCCTATATATCCATCATAAAATGTTGAGATTATGGATGCATAACGACAAATTTACTACGGAATATTAATTTAGGAGGGGGATTCGTAAACAATAGACGTTTATTGAGTTAGGAGGCTTTGTTTGTCCTTGAAGGTCATTGTAGGTATGTTTGTCTAAGGGATAAGAACACCTAGTACCCTCAAAATGAGTGCGTGGAAAGGTCATGGCAGGATATCCATTTTTAATATTTTAGGTTTCTTCTTAACAAATACAACATAATTTGTTTATTAATTAACAAATTTAAATTTGGTTAGTATATTTCGAAGATTACTCTTGACAACATATAGAGCTATGTTTTTTTTAATCTTGTAATTTATTACATTTTTTTGAATCGAATAAAATAATCTATTATATAACTCAGTCAGTTACCATAGCAACAAAAACATTACTACTGACAAACGCGATAACAATTTGTTGTAACTGCATAATGTGAATGTACGATATATAATGTGACCTCGATTTTCAAGGTTGTTGTAAAACTGACATGAAGCAAAGAAAATGCCGACAAATAGAGACTGTAAATTTAACAGGATATGGGAGTTCGATAAAATAGTTCAATTGATCAGCGCAGATACCCGCATTGCAACTCAGTCTTATTCTCCATTTGGATTTATTGATTTAACCAGAATCAATGACATCGTATAACTGAACGGTAAAGTGAAACAACAATCCTCGGTCATTCAGTCTTTGATTTTCCGAATTAAGCAGTGTTGGATTAATTTTAGCAGGCGAAAGTTTGGTAGTTGAGGGTGCCGGTAAATGTTTCGTTTAATTCATAATTGTAGTAATGAAATATGAAATAGATGCGATTCACTGGCGTCTACCACGCCCGGTTATCACGCTATTCAATGTTTATTTTTACTATTACGCTGCATGGGCGTGATGCTAAGTTGTTCGACCTTTGACCGGGATCGTGACCACGCAAGGGCGTCAACATCAGGTATTTTATAGAATCAATACGCCGTCACGCTCCGGGGTCATACTACGATCGGGATATTGGAATGTTGTCATGGAAACAAGTGGTCCATTCTGACTTCTTCCATGACACATGGTCATATGGTTTCGTATGGTTCTCACGTGTTCGAATAATAATCACACACGTCATCAAAAATGCGTGACTCAGAAATATCACGGACGGTAGTTCCATGGTAATATTTTACGTGGCATCGTCAAAAACCCCATTCATCACTTATCGCACGAGTAGTACACCGAATTAAATCAGCTGTTTGTTGGCGGTATCGACAGATGTTGCAGGATTCACGCACCAACTGATACGTGGCCGGTGGTGGCCTGGATCATGCGACACTGGCAGAATGTTGCATCGGGGATTAAAATTCCAAAACGTCGCACTTCACACTGTTCCGTGGCAAGGATTTAGCGTACGCACGGATTACTGGGGCGAACGGGGTGACCGGTCACTCGTAGAAAATACATGGCGGGACATGCCCGTTACCTAAGCGACTTACATTATTTTGAAAAGTGCTGGGTCTAATTTACTGACCTATATACCACGAATAAATCAGGGTGACATTTTTTTTTTTTGACATTCTTTCGCAAAAAAAAATATGTGTTTGTAGTATTTTCGAAGCAGATTAAATATGAAAGTAAAACTGAGTACTAATTGTTTGTATGGTTCCCTGAGTGGGGTTTACCGGTACAAATGGGACTACGTCATACAGCGTGATAAAACATGCGGAAGGCAGGCATGTTTGAACATCTCGCCCACAACCCTGGATCAGGTGTTATTGTGTGTAAGGTCACATGACTTTGTGCATGGAGAAAAACCGTGGGAAACCGCGCCATTCCAATGTTCCTTAATTTCATATATTGTCCTACATGGCACCTATGTACAAGTATGTCTGGTATGTCATCCTGAAACAAACATTACAGTAAAGCAAAGTTCACACGGGTACAATCTTTCCAGTATTTCTCCTAAATTTCCAGTTATTTCGGAGAGGGAATACTTTTCTTCTAACAAAAATAGAAATTACTAATACAGTATATTACTTTTACTAATATACGTGCCATTACCAGTCGCACATAATTTCAAGGTCGAGCATGGCGAACAAACGTTCCAAGTACTAGAATTTAGAAAGGGTTACGAAATAAACGCTAGATTCCTTTTCGGCGAATTCATGGTTGTCAGTTTCTGGAATTAGAAAAATAAATCTGGCAAAATTCCAACAACAAAAAAAGTGCGACACAGGTTTTAAAACCAAACCACGAAATTCACGTAACCTTGACACGGCCCTGTTAACGTATTAGAACAAGTTGACCTTGACTTTCATGGAGGAACGCCCAAATAGTGAGCAACATTGGGAATTCTAGCATGGGGTCAAATAGACAGACTAAATACAACCCACAACATGACCAAAAGTAGCAGGATGCTTATAGCAACGTTGCATTGTTTTGCCATATTTAAAGGTCGTCAACATCCTGGATAGAAAACTAATGCGTCACACCAGCGTGTTGACCTCACTCTTTTACACACGTATACTGACGAAGGGTAAATTTCTAACTGCCGAATTCCATTGCAAAGTCTTCCTGGGCAGAGCGTAATCCCACAGACCGAGATCGTCCTTCAATATGCAGATTATCTAAATGCTTTGTTTTCAAAAGCTAGAGTTCTCCCTAGCATACAAAAGACGGCATGCGACGTCACGGTCGTTTCCACGGTAACATCGCAAAGGCACCACCATAAGGCTGTTACGTCACAAAAGGATAAAAACAATGAGCACAAATGTGTAGAATTCACTCCACAACAAAGTGGGGTCTTTTATTTTAAAGATAACAATTTTCATATAGAGTCTGTTGCAAATTCCCCGTTTTAAAACTGAGGTTGGAGGAAAAACAACATAATAAATATGTCTCTCTGTACATAAGAAATGTTGAGTTCATACTACATCTAAGCTGTACACAACTAACAAAAAATAACCATTTGTTTTGTTGTGATAATTTACATTGCACCAACGACTTGACTTGATGGCTTTGTGAAAAAGATACAAAATAAATCGTAACAAAATGACAATCAAATAACGTACCAGACAAACTATAAAACAATAACTGTCACCAAATGATGGAAAGAAAGGCAATTTCTTTTTTAAATGGAACAAAGGCGTGATTGTAATCGTTGTACAGTGTGGGTAAAACCGTTTACTCAACTTGTTATTCGCCACTTTGTGCGAAAAAAATAAAGAAAAAAACAAAATATTGCGTATCACAGAATGATTCAGAAAGTTGGAAAACCATGGAGGTAACACGATAATATAAAATGTGATCAACAACAGCAGAACGTGATTCGAACGACTGACGTCACAATATATGCCTATATATAGCAACAAAAGAAGCCGAAGAAAACAAACCGAATGGCCTTCGAAGTCAACGAATTATTCGGCAAACAAAAAACGTACAGAACAGGAATTTGGAAATACGGGAGAGATATTCCAACTTCCTGTTTCAGTTATTTCTTGCACTATCAGTTCTGCTTTTGTTGGCGTTTGTAATCCCACACACAGTGACCAGATATCACTTCCGCCTTTCCTTTGTCAACAACTTACAACGAACTACGACTACTTCCTGGAAATGCCTCATAACCCGTATTGAAACGAGAAACAAAATTATACTACCACTAAGAAAAAAAACAATTTTTGGCACAATTATATCCAAATGTAGTTTTCTGGCAGTGGTTCTTTGGAAGTACATGGCGTACAATAATTAATATAATACAATGGCCATATGGGTACCTTTATGTACAAGGCTGTTTTTTAAATTTTAGCACAATAAAGAGTTCCCGTCCATGCTAGAATGCCTCGATTGGTCTGGCCCAGTTTTCTATACATTTAACACCCGTGGACGGTAGACTATATTGCTGTAAATGAGTTGTAGTGTTAAGTTGGGTGGAGTTCTTGTGACTCAGGCACGACACGAGTCTGTTCCGGTTAGCACCGTTTTCTGTTGACAATGAGTCAGAGCTATGTTGATCCTTGCCGTCCGCCAAACTTGACAATCCAGAATTAAACCTGGTCACAAGGTTTGATATTTGAGTTTGGTCAACGGTCATTGAATGTTCTTCAAGTGATTCAGAGTCTTGTTCAAATTTGCAACGTTTTGGTGAGATAGATTCGCATGCGTCTTCGAGTTCAGTTCGCTTCCGCTTGTTGCAACATGTCTGTGAGCAAAGCGAGTGATTCACTTCGCCCAAAATCTTTCGATCGTGGCAGCAAGTGTCTTTTTGAATTTCTGGTTCAACTTTATCCTTTGCTGGTGTATTTGTCTCAGTAACCATAACGTTTTCCTTATCTTCGTCAGCGGTTCGTTCATCGTCCATTTCGTACTCACACTTTGGCGCCGTTTCATTCTCGTGTTGTTCTGATGTGTCATTGTTATCGACCACGTCGTTCCATGCCGGCTTGGCGGTTTCATCATCGTCCTCAGTACACTCTAACTCATCCCGATCTTCGGATTCCGAATCGTCATAAGTACGCTGTAAGCCGTACATCTGTTCATAAATAGCGGTCCTTGCGTTGTGTATCACATAGGAAACAAGCAGATTCTTGCGTAGGTTCAGACCGCCACGTTGTTTTCGGTAGGAAGCGATTTTCCCGAACGAAACGCTGATTAGTCTTTGTGCATCTGTAGACATATTTCTTCGATAAGCTGCTCGAATATCTGGATAATATTAAAACTAGTGGTTTTTCACAGTGGTTCACAGCCTTCTTTGTCGATCAGGTAGTGTAAAATGACTGCTTCGATGAATTTCACGCCAAAATATTGGAGTGAGTCTAACGCACACGTAAACTCAATGAATGGCGTGTTCGAAATGAGGTACAACCGTTACGAACTTTACCTTTCGAGAAACCATGACGTCAGTGCCTATTTCCGACAGCCAATCACAACACACCGTGTCATAGAGGTCACTTGTTTGCATATTTGATTGACAACATGGGTGGATTTCCTACAGTGGCTAAAATTGATGGGCCAATCAGTTGACGCTATTATAGGCTTTTCCGCTAACTGCTACGTCACAGAAGCGGGGACGGTACGGGTAATTTTGCTGACTACGTCACCAGATAAATAATAGTAAACAGAGTAGTCAAGGCGAGAGAACAAAAGACCCAGTTTACTATTCATGGCCGCGTGAGTCATGTATTACACCAGCTATAACTACGCAGGGCTTCGCGAATACCAGACATGCCTTACCCAAATTTGGAATAGGGGTGAAGGCGTGCCTAGCTAAGAGCATTTCGAGGGTACCTCGATGAGTTACCATTGAATTACGTTGGCGCGAAAATCCAACGTGGAATATTTGCTACAAATGTTACAATACGAAACGAGACGAAGAAAACTTACTGTGGGCATTTTCGCGCGTTTCTCAATAGAGTTCCGTATTTACGTGGCATATATGAAGAAGATTTGTTTACACATTTTCATTGTAATTCGATGATTATTATTATTTTATTGCAAATCTTCCCCAATTGCATTCAGTTTGTGATCTTGGCTTACCGAAAGAAATATACTTTAGAAAATAACACACACACAATCGTGAAGGGGAGGGGGGGCTATATGTTTCTATTAATGTATTTTTATTTATTTATTTGAGTTTGAAGTACTCAACGGTGGATTGTATAACGGAAACAGTCTCGGTGTTTTCTCCGCGCTGACTGACCTCGGATTCTACGGCGGATTTGAATTGAATGTTCAAGGCCGCTGACAACGAGGACATATTATTACAAGCAAACTATGATGTCACGTCTCCGACATCCTCGGCGTATGCACGTTGTTATCACCATTGAGAAACTCGTGTCACGACCTGTGTTGTTGTCGTCGCAAAGGTCGTATTGTAATTTCGGCCTATAAACAGGGACCTGTGTCATTGTCTGCCGCGAACACTGACGCAGATAATAACAATGTGTGAATCGAATCATACCTTCTTAACGCTTCCGTCCCTGTTTACGAATGTTGTTTTCTAGCACATACTTATTGAAGTTTTCATCCGGTCGACGCGAACTGGAACACATATAAATTCGTTGTACCAGTAGTTCGTTTATATTATTATTATTACACATAATTTTTTAGTCATATTTATATCTAAATCATATAGATTACCTTTTAATTTTCGTTATGTAAATAGAAATTTTCCTTTCCTTTACCAGTAAATTGTAAATTTCTACTTGACAGTCTGGGCCATGGACTGGACTAGTCCATAAGGACTATTACCATGGTCCACGCCGGAATTACTACTATTGTATTTTGTTTATAAGTTCTGTTATAATGGTCATACTGGTGAAATAAATAAATAAAAAAAAAGCTACTATTAAGTATTCAGCCCCGGGTGGATCCGATAGTAGAATTACAATATCTATAATCGATATTTAAAAAAATGCTAACAGTAACAACCTCTAATCCTCAACTGCACTTAACATTACGTGGTTTATAACATTTTTTTGTCTGCAATCGGGTTCCTTGTTCAGACTTGAACGTCTATCAATAAGGTTTATTAACGCTACACGTTTATACGGATGACGAGGACGTGACAAGACTCATTATAGCAATGATTCAACACGTGACTTGTTATTGTGTGACGTATCAGTTGTCGTTTCATCGTGCAAGTACTAGTACCCGTACACGGCGTGACGAAACACAGATATTATTGAGAATAAACCAAATTTTTTCAGAAATTGGTAAGCAAACCGGCAAAAGTAACGAGAGAACAGTTCCAATCGGACACGCACGTGTGGGTGGAATTAAAATCTATTTTTAGCTTAATCAAAATCACACGTCACCACAGGCAACCATGAATATTTTCCCATACCCTAGATATTAAAGTGTATAGTACAACATATAACACCTTTTTGTCTACCAGTTTTAGTTTTATTTACTACCTGTATATTGCACTAACAAAAATTAATTTGTATAATAAATAATTTGCATAATAAAGGTCAATATATTTTGGGGCAAATTCAATAAACTACTAGTATTCAAAATTCCACATCAATGTGTCATCTGGTACATTAGTGTAAAACAAAGTGCAGATGTTATGGACATAGGGGGTGATGACAATAGCTTTTACAAACAATGAACATGTCATTTTTTTATTCTTTTTGAATAAAAAACAATTTTGTGAAATTAATGAATTAATTTTGCATCTGTAGCCTGAGTTCTCAGCTGTGTACTTTACCAGTGTACTCGGGAGGGGGAAGTAAGCTGAAAAAATTTGTCCCACTTTAAAGTTGCCACCTTTATGTTGATGTTACCTTGAAATGTATATATATCCCATTGCATACCTTCATGGACCTGCCAGCAGGCTGACATGTCTACTCCAATGAAACTAGTTCAAGGGCAGTAACTTATAAACAGAAGCTATGATTGTTTTTTTGTTTCTGTAATTGTCAATACAAATATTAGTCATTGTCATTCTGGCATAATTAGGCTAAGTACATTTATTTGTTTACACAAAACAATAGATTAGTTTTAAAGGTCAATATCTATAATAAATTGCAACACCTCTAATGTACACAATAAAAGACATATCTTTTCTTTTTCGTTGCCAACAATTTCACAGATTTGATATGACATCCAATCTTGTGAATATTGGCCCAGACAGTATATACAACACATGTTGTTTTCAAAAAATTCAATGAAAATTGATTGACGTTAAATGGTTTTTGTTTTTGGAGAGTGAATCTTAAAATTTCTTGTTATTTATTCTCTCTTTTTTTTTAGGGAAAAAAATCAACATATTGATAAATCCATTAAATATATTAAAAAAATCAATTTTACATATGTATAAAATATTGACTAAACAGAATATTCAAATTGTAATTTTATTAAATGAAGACTATCTGATAAGGAGATGTTTGTGTATTTTGTCATGGCAACATCATACCAAGTCTCATATTTTTGGCTTTCCCTACAAGTGCAACATATGCATTAATACAACATCCAGTATTTTGATAAAGTAATTTCAAATTTTTTTCTTAATTAATTAGTTTCCCTAATTATTGTATTTCATAGCTTGCTAGGGAGCTTTATCTTACCTCCTTAACTAAATGACAAAAATTATGTCAGGCAGTTTTATAATAATGTATGCAGTGATGCGGAATGGAGTTGTCATAGCAACAACCAATGTCAATGATGACACTGATGCAGAGTCAGCTCCTGTTGCCTAGCACACTGTCTCCATAACGATGAAAGCAGAAAAATGCATTTGAAAATGAACCGTATAATAATGTATGACCTTTATAATCTCTGGGCATGAATTTTTTTTTTCTTTCAGCTTTAGTGAGTCTGTTTAATGAATTTGTTTTTGTTTCATTTTGTGCAGATTTTTTTTTTAGAAATATAGATTTTTTATATACATTTTTGTAATTTCCACTGTAAATTTCCCTGTGTAAATTACTTTTCCTAAATCTATCGCTCAGGTTTCTGAGCATCAACATCTAACTCTAGGATATTTCCAAGCATGAATTGACATCATCTTCAATGTTATAGTATTTGCATAATGCTCTTTGCAATAACATGTGAACTAGTGAAAATTGTAATAAATGTATTACACATATAAAGACAAAAATACTGTAAAATAGTGTATTTTAGCTGGAATTAATTTTCACTGAAAAACCAGTTGGGGTGTTTTGTATGGAGTTTATTTTCACGGATTCTTGATGAGTTGAATGTAAAATATAGGAATAATAGTATATTCACTGTATTTTATTTAAATAAAGTATTTTACAATGAATGATTTGTCTCTGGATCGCATGTACATTTGTTCAAAAGTGGATGCTTACAATTTATGTTATCAGGTCTCTGTCAAAATATTGTAAAAAGAATAAAATAAGCAGCCTTTCGGCTGAGATAGCTCTGCTATCAGCAATGCACATTTCAAATAAAGAACTGAAGATATCATTAGAAAATAAACAAATTTGAGAGCGGTCCACATTTAGTACCTATATGTGAAATATCAAAGCAATCAAACGTTCTGTTTTTAACAAGAACTGGAAAATACCACTTTTTACCAAAAATTTGAAAAAAATATTCATCAAAATTAGAGAATTGAAAATATTGTCACAAAATGAATAAAACTGAGAGAGGTCCACATGTAGTATCTATATATGTAATATCAAAGCAATTGGACTTTTGATTTTTTAACGAGAAGTGGAAAATATCACTTTTTACCAAAAATGAGAAAAATATTCATCAAAATTAGAGAATTGAAGATATCATCACAAAATGAATATATCTGAGAGAGGTCCACATGTAGTACCTATATATGTTATATTAAAGCAATCAGACTTTCTGTTTTTAACAAGAACTGGAAAAAACCACTTTTTACCAAAAATTTGAAAAAATATTCATCAAAATTAGAGAATTGAAAATATTGTCACAAAATGAATAAAACTGAGAGAGGTCCACATGTAGCACCTATATATGTAATATCAAAGCAACTGGACTTTTGATTTTTTAACGAGAAGTGGAAAATATCACTTTTTACCAAAAATGAGAAAAATATTCATCGAAATTAGAGAATTGAAAATATCGTCACAAAATGAATATATCTGAGAGAGGTCCACATGTAGTACCTATATATGTAATATTAAAGCAATCAGACTTTCGGTTTTTAACAAGAACTGGAAAATACTACTTTTTTCCAAAAATTTGAAAAAATACTCATCAAAATTAGAGAATTGAAAATATTGTCACAAAATGAATAAAACTGAGAGAGGTCCACATGTAGTATCTATATATGTAATATCAAAGCAATTGGACTTTTGATTTTTTAACGAGAAGTGGAAAATATCACTTTTTACCAAAAATGAGAAAAATATTCATCAAAATTAGAGAATTGAAGATATCGTCACAAAATGAATATATCTATCTGAGAGAGGTCCACATGTAGTACCTATATATGTAATATTAAAGCAATCAGACTTTCGGTTTTTAACAAGAACTGGAAAATACCACTTTTTACCAAAAATTTGAAAAAATATTCATCAAAATTAGAGAATTGAAAATATTGTCACAAAATGAATAAAACTGAGAGAGGTCCACATGTAGCACCTATATATGTAATATCAAAGCAACTGGACTTTTGATTTTTTAACGAGAAGTGGAAAATATCACTTTTTACCAAAAATGAGAAAAATATTCATCAAAATTAGAGAATTGAAGATATCGTAACAAAATGAATAAATCTGAAAAAGGTCCACATGTAGTACCTATATATCTATAATATCAAAGCAATCGGACATTCGGTTTTTAACAAGAAGTGGAAAATATTACTTTTTACCAAAAATGAGAAAAATATTCATCAAAATTAGAGAATTGAAGATATTGTCACAAAATGAATAAATCTGAGAGAGGTCTACCCAAGGTACCTATATGTATAATATCAAAGCAATCGGACTTGCAGGTTTCAACAAGAAGTCAAAAATATAACTTTCTATCAAAAATGGCAACAATATTCATCAAAATTAGAGATTTAAAGATACCATCTTAAAATGAACAAATCTAAGAGAAGTCTGCCCAAGGTACATATACACCAAGTATCAAAGCAATAAGAATTGTAGCTTTCAAGAAGAAGTCGAAAATGTAAAAAGTTGACACAGATAACAAACAACGACGGACAATCACTCATATGAGTAATGACTGTATTAAATTTTATTATTTTTTATGAAGAGGAAATAGTGTTTATCAATGTAGTATGTTTACTCAGAGTGATACAATATGATACATGGGTTTTCAAGTTATGATAGTGAGATGATGTGTACAGTGAATAATACTACATTACATCATAAATACCACACCTTTGGGCCTACCCATTATCATAGAAATTGCCAAAATCTCTGTATCCTATGCTAGAATTGGAGTTTGTGACCAGGAACAGACCTTTAGGGGTGTTATTTGATTACACAGGAAAAAAATCAGATAAAATTAGCAGAGCAGCTTTGTCTTGTCCAAGTTTGAAGGCTGAATATGACTTAGTATTTTCCACTGATATATATATTATTTTTCTCAGATGTTTTTGTCACACATGCTACATGCAAAAAAAAAACAGTCAATTGGTTTAAGCTCTCATGAGACCCCAAATTGTGGTCACTTTTGCAGAAAATCTAAAATGGCAGTCAAACCATGTGACTAATCATTTTTTCTAGTCATACTAGATTAGATGCCATCTACGATTGTACGATTTTGATGTTGTGGGCAGGGTTTTGGTACAGGACATACTACCTATGCGAGTTTCCATGGTAACATACTAAAGTCCTGGAGACAGCCAATCAGTGATGATTAGAAGTGTGTGCTGACTATGTAGTTACATAACTATTCACCAGAGCAGACCATTTTATATTTATATGAAAATATGGATATGTAAAATATCTGCATGCCAAATATCCAGTAGAATGGTTAAAGCACTACTGAAAAATAAATGCCCAAATTGTTGCCATTTTATTGTCATTCATGAAGACAAAATTCAAAATAAATGAGCCAATCTGTAAAAAAAAAATTACTGTCTAGAAATCAAAGATAGCAACCAAACAACATGACCAAGAGCTTTGTAAACTTTAATAGGTATTATACATAATTCAGATCAATGTGAAAAAATTTCATATGATGTTTTTTTTCCTTTCATGAAAAATGTATCCTGTATATCATTAATGCTACCACAAAAAATCAGACAGCTAGATCCTCAGAAAGAATTCAAAATGGCCAAGATGGCTGCCAAACCAGTTGACCAATAAAACTTCTAAACGTTAGTTGCACATGTTCTCATCGTCCCCCAATGTGCTTTATAAGTTGAGAAGTCCATGGGCAATAATGTTCAAACGGCAAAAGAAAAAACGTGCCAGAGAATAGGTCCAAATTTCATGAACCCTAAAAATAATCAGAAACAAAGACAAAAAACTATTACCGGTATATAGCCAAAACAAATTTTATAGAATGAATTTATTAAATTGAACTCAAAAAATGTTTTTTCTATTCGTACCACAAGTTTTTACAGGTCAAACTCCAGCACTGATATTAAAAAAAAAAATGATATATTTTCAAAATCCCACTACAAAAAAATTGTTTTCTATATAGGGATAGAAGGACTGTGCTGCAAATGAAACTGGTTTCGTTATTACTATCTTGTTATCTGAAGTCCCTGGTAACCAAGTGTTACTACATATAAACAATCTCATTGTTTTGATTTACAATGCAGGTGTTTACCACATATACAGGTGTGATTATTGACTCTACTAAACAATTTACCTTTGTCATAGCAGCCATAATTTCTTTGGGACTCTGCAACGTCAGTGACTTTCATGAAATTTTGTCTTTGCGAATGCTATAAAAATCTTATAATTGTTAAAAAATCCTAGAAGCGTAAATGATTTATAGTGAATACTGAGAGCTTCCCATATGTTGATGGCGAATAAACCATGCATTGCCATGGTAACATCCATTGATTAAGGTCAATAAGTAACACATTCCAAACTGAGTAGAGTGAATTACGCTTCTATTTTGATATAGCGATTTAGTAGCAACAGAAATTGAAAAGGTCATAACAACCCTGTAATGTGACCTTAAAACAATACCATATATGCAAATTGATATGATGATAAATCTGTTTTGATTTGTAAGGAATGTTGTGAAGAGTTTATAATTATTCATTGTAATTCCTCGAATCGCATATGCTTATGTAGAAACTGGTAAAAGATCAATCTGATTAAAATCAGATTTTTTTAGGCTTTTTTCTTTTTCTTTTCATTCTTTTAATTATTCATCTGATTTGAATTAGATTGATAAAACATTAACACATTCCATTATATGATTGGTGTAATTGAAAATTGTGCATCTTTATTTGACATTACTATCAACCATACGATTTCAATCTTTGTAAAATATTCTACTTGTTTTTATGTAGTTCTCTGTTAATTTCTCTTGGACTACAATTTGTTGACACATGTGAAAATAAAACTTTTGTTTAATTTTGTGAACGGTTGAACTTTTGTGTTCAATGGGTTTAAGGCTAGAAAAGAAGTGTTTCTGCTCAATTTCAAGTAGTTTTCTGAAAATAATGAATGCAAACCTATATATATTTTGAAATTATTATTTAATTATTGATTTTTCATATGAACCTGAACTTTTATTTAATTATTTCTTAAATTCTGAAAAAATAACCTAAAAAAAAACAGTGATGCACATGTTTTTAAATAATGTTTGGTGACTAGAAACACAAATATATTTTTTTGCCTATTAAGATAATGTATTAGCCCCTTCATGACCCTTTAGAGAAGCACTTCCGATAACTTCTAATTAAAACTATGAATATATTTATTGATTGTAAGTTGAAAATATGATCACATTACCATGTTGTTTTAACTACATCACTTGCATCACATTCTAAGAATGCATGGTATTTCATAGTATTAAATACACACATATTAAAACTTGGCAGTACTACGATTGAAAATATTATGCATTAATAAAATTATTCATAAGATGTCAGTTACCATATATATTATATAGCTCATAGTGATCTAAATTTAAGCTAAATTATCAATATTTATTAAATTCAAAAGAAAAAAAATAGGAAAATATAGTGATGTGTCCTTGGAATTGCATTATGTACATTCCATTGAGAAAATATACAGAGCTAATTTTCCCCAATATTTTTGTATTTCATATTATATTCTATAATATAACAGTACAATACAATAATTACAGATATTGTAAAATCTGTGAATAATTAACACATTTACACTATATTATCCTTGAAGTACTGAGCAAAGCTGATTGAAATAATATTCTAGTTACAGCTTTTTTTCAAATATAATTTAGTTTTTGTTTTTTTCATATATTTTATTTTATTTGCTGGTATTTTTTCAAGTGATGGTAATCGTGAAAAAAGCCCTAACTAGGATCTCATTTTGGCACCAAGCCAAATGACATTTCTTGCAATGATCGAGTTTACACAAAGTAATATGCAAGATCACCAGTACTTGTTCTTATATAGCACGCAGTTACCTAAAAATATTTTGTTCAAAATAAAAATTAATTTTCTATGTGTCAGGTACTGTTTACAGCCATCTACCTAGGTGATGTTCACATGTTTACAGCCAGCTGCCTAGGTGATGTTTACATGTTTACAGCCATTTACCTAGGTGATGTTCACATGTTTACAGCCAGCTGCCTAGGTGCTGTTTACATGTTTACAGCCATTTACCTAGGTGATGTTTAAATGTGTATAGCCAGCTGCCTAGGTGATGTTTACATGTGTATAGCCAGCTGTCTAGGTGATGTTTACATGTGTATAGCCAGCTGTCTAGGTGATGTTTACATGTGTATAGCCAGCTGTCTAGGTGATGTTTACATGTGAATAAACCTGTACATGTATCACCCCATGTGTAATTATTTGGCTCAGCATTGTATTGTAATATCAACCCTTTGAGTCAACAGCAGACACCATCCACAAAATAGTTCTATTTATAGTCTTCTCTTTTTTACATAAAATACTGTGAAAATTTCAAATTTATATATCAAAACTAGAAGCAATGTCACATTTTGTTTGTTTATTCCAAAATTAAGATTGAATACGATGAAAATTACAGAAAATGTGAACAATTTACCCAAATTGGGGAAATACCAAACAAATGTGGCTGCAGAGAATATTTATAGATATTAAAACAAATTGATGATTGAGCGTTACTATCATGAAAAAGACATAAAAAAAATAAAAATACAAAAAGGAATGCTGATCAAGAAAAATGCATAGTTTCAGAGTTCTTCTTTTTTTCTTTTTTTTTCTTCATTGAAGCCCCAGAACCAAGTTGTCTTTCCAGACGCTTCACGTTCTCTGGTTGCGAATGCCGAGAAAGAAGACACGCAGTTGCATATGTAAAGATGAGATTTACCCAAGATGGCCAAATCAACATGTGGTTCTTTCGGTTTCCTTACCACTACCTTAACCTGTGGAATATACAGTAAATACACAAAATTTATTTGTAATTCACATACATTATAAATGCAAATGCCGGCCACATCATATTTAAAATAAAAATGGGGCACAATATGGCCTGTCAACTGTCATTTTGGGAATAAAATAAAATATTTGCATTATTATTCTTCACTTATAAACATCAGCTACAATACATACTTAGAAATTAGCATTGCTTAAATTATCTTATTGTAAGCCATTTGTACAGCAAAATGTTTAAATTCATACTATATTGTGATGTCACAGTTGCCATGGTTTTTTATGACTAAGTAATCTGAAAATAGTACATTTTTTAGAAATTAAGAAATTATTTATTTCCAGTAAATCAATCTCACGATATTTACACTACATATACACATAATAATAAAAAGCATACATACATGTTTAATTTGCTTTAAAAATGTGCAGATTTTCATAAATAATAATAAAAGCTGCCCTTTCTGTTTAAACTAAGCAGTGATTTTTTTGTTCTGTTCTTTTTCTAATTGTGTGTAATAATTGTACATCACATTAATGAGCATAGTGACCTTGACCTACACACTACAATTGGTGACTCATAAATGAATTTTTATTATTCACATGAACATAGCCGATATCATTCCATAGAGGGCGCTATCATGAATACCTGCATAATAAGTACTGGCTGCATGGAAACGTACATAAAGCCATTATTCATTTTTTTTTTCTATTTCCATTTAAGCAAAGTATTTGTTATTCATTCATAAATTAAAAATAAATTCTGTTAACAATTTGTAATTTTCATTGCATGCTTTCATTAAAATGCAAATAGGTGTGTGAAAAAATGATTAGCTTCTAGTCCTAAGGAAAACCGATAAACGATGACGAGGTATTAGTTTGTTTTTGTACTAAGATTATTTAATAACACTAAAGATATATGTTCAATGTTGGACAGTTAATAAATAATTCATGTACATGCATTTCTCATTCCTACCATATGTGAAATTGTGAGAGAGTAGATTTTAAATGATAGAATAGAAACACATTCAGTAATTATTTTTTAAACATACAATTATCAATTAATAGAAAAAGGAAATAATTACACATACCTTTTGACTTTTTAAGCTTTTGGTGAGTTCACTTATCAACGGATTATCATCCGTAGCAACAAACACTCCCTTTGCTTTGATTTTTTTCACAGCTTTTTTTGTTTTCTTTAATATCTCATCCACTCCAGGAAAGCAGAGGTCATAGGTCAATTTCCCATGTTCATTGTTATAACCAAGGCACTGTGGTGATGCAAATAATTGCCTCCCAACGTTGTCATTTTTTACATGGTCACATGCTTTTTTCTGGGAAAATAAACAAATAGATGTGGGGAAAATGAGTTGGGATCAAAGTTAAAATGTAGAGAGGTTAAAGTTCAACATTGAATAGTACAGATTAAATATTGAAGATAGATGGCAGAGAAAGGCAGGAAGGTAATTCTCCATAGTACTGGCATAATGGTACAGACATGGAGTTAACAAATATTTTTAAAGCTCCATGGTAGAGGCCAGAGTACAGACAACATCTTTGAAGAAAGATTCTGTAAACCTGCATATTTCACTGTTAGGAAATCAAAAACCTGTCCATTTTCAACTATGCACATCACAGTACTGATTGTATGCCAAATTTGAAATGGTTAACTTGAACATCAAGATTTCTTTTAAGAACTACTAGTACCGGTAGTTAGATTTTTGAGGACAGAGAAGAGTAGAAGTGTCCTGTGAGTGAACTCTCGTCAATCTTGTGATGGTGAATAAACTATGGAACCCTTTGCTATCTGTTTATAGTCAGGATTTCAATATTTGCTTAGACACAGTTTTAATACTTTACAGACAGCCAGTTATTCCCCTGAATTCTGCCCATGGCACTTTGTGAAGGCCTTTAAAGATCTTCCCATCTGTTGCTCACCATATAGTAGAATGATTTGATATAATTTTGCTATGCATTTATTGTTTTAATTAAAATTAAAAAATATGCTGTGATTAATAATTGATAGTTTGTTCATGTTACTGAGATAAAATGATGTTTTTTTCCAGAGTAAATTTGCATATCCACATGTGTCATTCATTCAAGAAAAGACACAGTTTTTGAACAATCCAATTCAATGTGGCACAAATACAATATCATTACTTATACTACCAATACATGTACTATACTGGGAAAGAAATTGATATATAAGAGCACCATGCAAACAAACACATTTCAATGTAATTAACAGTGAATCAGATGTGGTTGAAAACCTGGTAAAAAATTTGATTTTTTTGACTTTAGATTTCGGAACTCATTTTACTACATCAGAGGCAAATGTGAGCAAAGATTTTATAAATTTGTACCACATTTGTCAGCAGTTGGAAACTAAATAATGACGAGTTAAAGTTGAAAGGTGGATACTATAACATTTCAATATCCTCTAAAATTGATTTACTATCATACATGTATATAACAAGCAGCCTGTTGGCTGAGATAACTCCGCTGTTAGCAATGCACATTTCAATTAAAGAACAGAAGATATCATTAAAAGATGAACAATATGTACAGTATCAAATCAATCAGACTTGTGGTTTTTAACAAGAAGTCAAAAATATCACTTTTCACCAACAATGACAAAAATAATCATCAAAATTAGATAATTGAAAATATCACCACGAAATTAACAAATCTGAAAGAGGTCCACATGTAGTACTTATATATGTAATATCAAAGCAATTGGATTTGTGGTTTTTAACAAGAAGTCGGAAATATCACTTTTTACCAAAAATGACCAAAATATTCATCAAAATTAGAGAATTAAAGATATCATCACGAAATGAACAAATCTGAGAAAGGTCCACATGTAGTACCTAAATATATAATATCAAAGCAATCAGACCTGAAGTTTTCAACAAGAAGTAGAAAATATCACTTTTTACCAAAAATGACAAAAATATTCATCAAAATTAAGAATTAAAGATATCATCACGAAATGAATAAATCTGAGAGAGGTCCACATGTAGTACCTATATATATAATATCAAAGCAATCAGACCTGATGTTTTCAATCAGAAGTCGAAAATATCACTTTTTATCAAAAATGACAAAAATATTCATCAAAATTACAGAATTAAAGATATCATCACGAAATGAATAAATCTGAGAGAGGTCCACATGTAGTACCTATATATGTAATATCAAAGCAATTGGATTTGCCGTTTTCAAAAAGAAATTGAAAATATCACTTTTTAGCAAAAATATTCATAAAAATTAGAGAATTTGAGATTTTGACATGAAATGAACAAATCTGAGAAAGAACCATCCAAATTACTTGCATATCAAATTTGAAAAATTTTTGAAGAAGAAGTTGAAATTGTAAAGTTGACGACGACGACAGACAATCAGTAATATGAACAGCTCCGCAGTGTCGACTTTATCAACAGCGGAGCTAAAAATCTAGTACTAGCACAAAAATTAAATAATGAAAATCTGCTGATTATGTAGATGCCATGAAAACTTTGCACACAAGACAAATGGGCTTTGCTTTATGACTACATTTCTGATGTTTTAAGTGTATTCACAAGATTTTAAATTCTTAGCTTTGCTATTTAAGGTAGAGATGCAAGTTCGTAGGCACTTGAGGGTGAAATTTTTTTTTTGCTTTTTATTATCCAACCACTATAGACTGTTAAAATTTTGTATAATTGTGAATAGGGGATCATACTCAAAAAACTATTTTAAAATATAGATAACAGGTGCAAACATTCTCTCTTTTGAATGCTTAGCAAGGCTGTACATAAATAATAAAAAAGAAACATGGTGAAAAAAGAAATGACGGGATCTCCATATTATGCACTATATTTAACTTTTAACAAAACGATAATACATTTAAATTTGGAACTGTTACAGCCATTTTAATTATGAGCATTATCAAATTTCTTACTGAGTGAATTGTTATGCAAATTAGCAATTATCTCAGCTTCTTTTTAGTGCACATCCCAGAACTTTAAAAATAAATAGTTCCTTTGACCTTTTGTTTTGAAATTTTCACAAATGATTGACAATGTGTTTATCTTTAAAACTCCATTGGGTCATTGTTTCTGGTTGAATAGTGTTGCAGCAATCCTACAGACAACTAGCCTGGGTGTTAATTTATGCATAAACTTGAAGTAGTGAAATTTGAGCTGCTGCACTGCAAAATTGACAACTGGTAGATGTACCCGTAAACCAATTTTGACAGAAAACAGAAGCATGGTTTAGAAGCTAATTTTTTTTAAATCACTTTTGACCAAAAAAGCACATTTTTGTGCATATTTCAAACTACAGTGTCCGTAAAAAAAAATACTAACAACATTTTAAAATCCATACAATAAGTTTTCCAAAAATATATAGTTTTGTGGACAAGGGAGGTCATCTTGGTTTCCTAATTAACTAATTAAAATACCTGTCAAGTAAACTGCATCTCTACCTTAATCAATGAGTTCTACTAAATTCTTGACACCCAAAATAAAACATAGTTGAACTCTGGTGACCTTGCCCTTTGTTATATAATATAATTCCCTTTATCATAGTTTGTTTCAATATAAATATGCATTGTCATAATTAATTATGAATACAAACAAGTTTTGGAGTTGAACCAACAGTGGGGAATCAGTCTACCGAATGTCCTTAAAAGATGTAAATATCTTACAAAAACATTGGTGCCTTATTTGTTTAATTATTTTAAGGGACATAATTTCCAGCTTTCTTCAAAGTAATTCAGATATTTTAGTATAAAAACAAATGTCTCATTGAAAAAAAGTGCTGCATTTAGATGTGAATAGATTCATAAAACATGCAAGATAACAGAAAATTTTAGCTGGCTTTAGTCCAAGTTTATTTTGTACAG